ACCCAGGCTGTGCCCGTCCTCCTCCAGCTTTGAGTAGTCTGGGCGCCAGCGGGATTAGGCTGTTCTTCTCTTCCACGCCCACTGCCCACCAGGTAATCTCATCCTGGCATGCCTGCCAGCCTCCCAGGTGCCACGTGAGAGTCTGTAGAGGGGCTGGCACAGTCCCTCTCCAGACCTCTGAATCCTGAATTTACAGCTTCATATGACCTGAGTCCTCTGCTCTCAAACCCAAGTTCTTTTCTGACCCCCTGCTCTGTCTTTATGACCTGTATTATTATTGACTTTATACTTTAAACTAGCTTTGAATTCACTTTGGGCCTCTCAGTGATTTTCAGCTAAGCCCTGTGCTTGGAATGCATGTCCAGAAAATCACATACATCGATATTAATACCTCATAAGTGAAACACATTATGATTAAACTTATGCTCCAGGATGTTTGTCCATGGCCGGCCCCAGACATCCTGGCTTCCACCAGAGCACACTTGAGAAAAGCTGGTCTGGCCAAAGGCCCATTTCATTGAGGCTGGAGATGGGGAGGGGGTTGCTGGCCATCACACAGCCAGCACAGGGCAGTCAGCCCTCCTGACCCTCAGTTCTGGCAAGGTTAATTCTCTTGTGAGTCCTTGTGAATGACACCTGTGGAGGTAGCAAGAGTGTGGGGGCCTGAGGTTGGCAAAACTGCCCTGGGCTTGAAGGAGCCAATAGGAAAGAAGCTCAGCAAGAGGAGGGAAGTTCCCGGATGCAAGGACCCCAACCCGGTCCATCTCAGGTGGATTTCAACAAGGGGGTTGGTGCATTTAAATTGTGGCCCCTAACTGGGGTCATTGGGACAATTGGCTACAAGATAAGATTTATGTGACTCAAAGAGGTTTTAAAAATAAGAGTTAATTACTAGCATTTAGAGATTGGAGATTTCTCTTGAGAATCTGATTTCTGGATTCTCTTGTGCAATCAGCCACCCTGGCCACAAGGTACCTCCTTCCTGCAGGTCACACACTGGTGCCGAGGGGGCTGTTCCTCCCACCCACGTAGTCCCTCTCATTTCCGTGACATGCTGACTCCAGGAGGCCCTTGAGTTTCAGGCCCCAAGTTTAAATGAGAAGGCAGTTTTCTCTTGTCTTCTGAGAACAGCTATGGCCTCAGCCGCATAATGCAGGGGCTGTATGTATGAAAGGCCTGGACTGGGCCACCTCTGAGTTTCCTGCTCTGGTGGGCTGTGAGACTGAGATTCTGTGATTTCCAGACTCAAAATTCTGGAAGCTGAACTACTTGCTCCCTGTTCATACAGCACAAGGGTTTTCAGTAAACACATGGCGGTGTGTGTAGTGAATGACCTGGGTTCAAGCCTAACTCTCTGGATGGAGGGGAGGAACATTCCTCTTAGGAGTCCGGATGCTCAGTCTCTCAATGCAGGAGGATGGCAGAAGGAGCCTTTGTCCCCTTAGGGGAAGGCCTTGTCCACACGCCCCGCCTGGCCTCTGAAATGTGTTGCTCCCGCCCTCCCAGCATCCTTCAAGGTTTTCTGAGGGGACCCATGTAACTAGCCCTCTGCACCATCTGCTCCATCTTCCAACACGTCAAGCTTCAGCGCCTCTCATGCCTCCCACCCATGCGTGTGTCCCCTGTCAGTCTCCACATTCTTCCTGCCCTTGGTCCACTGGACTGCATAGCAAATCATTTGTAGAAAATGCAACTGTCCCCCGTGCCAGACTGGGGACCACTCTTACTTTCCTGTAATACCTGTCTTCTCTGGACACAGCTGTGCCCTGTGGTGGACTCTGTGCTGGGTGTGGCGAATGAGCTCCTGGGGGCTGTGCTGAGTAAGTTGGGTCCCAACCCTTTCCTCTCTGCCCCTTCTCCTTAACCCCCTTCCATTATCTCAATGGGTGGGGGGCACCAGGAGAAGAGGAAGGGGCAGAATTCTGGGACCTTTCACTTACTTCTCAGACTGATGAGGTTGCCACTTTGAGGAGGCCTAAATGGGGAGGTCTGGGCTGAGGCCAGCTTAGCAGAGCGTGAGTACTCACAGCCATCCAGTCTGTATCTTCTGGGGGCTTCATGCCATTTATTGAGCACCTGTGGTATGTCTAGCACTGTCAGAAACATGATGCGTATATTATTATTATCTGGACAGACAAGGTGACTGAGGCCCAGAGAGCTTAAGTAAGGACCCCAAGGCCCACAGCTACAGTGGCTGCCAGTCTCTCTGAGCACTATGGAGACATGAATGCCTTTTATGTTCACAGAAAGGCTTTGAAAAGTCTAAAAAGGTATAACCAGGATAAGGACAGAAAACTTGGGGCAGATACGTCACATGCGGTGGCATTACATGAGAGAGGTAGGGCAGCAATGTGATTAGTGATACTAGCTCTGGAAAACGGGAATCTTGACTTTAGCTTGGGCTGGTGACTTCCTCTGTCTGAGCCTCAGTTTTTTTAATTTGAAAAATGGGGATGACAGTAGGGCCCAAGCGAATCTTCAGTAGAGTGCCAGGCACTCAATAATGGAAGAAGGACCTATTATTATTGGGGGCTGGCCTCATGGGGTCTTCCTCCCCACCCTTCTCCCCATGCAGGCCTGGTTCCTCTTGGGACTCTTGGGTCTGTGGAATTCACTCTGGCCACACTGCCTCTCATCTCTAACCAGTACATAGAGCTGGACATCAACGTGAGTGTCTTCTGAGGCCCTTCCCACTATTAGGGGTATGGTGGGGTAGTGGTAGAGGTCAAGTAGGACATGCTGGGTCAAAGCCACATGGGTGAGCAGCTCTGAGACCTTCCCATGCCCTGTCTCCTGCCCCTGCAGCCCATCGTGAAGAGCGTAGCTGGTGACATCATTGACTTCCCCAAGCCCCCCAAACCTATCAAGGTGCCTCCCAAGGAGGACCACACATCCCAGGTGATCGTGCCTCTGTACCTCTTCAACACTGTATTTGGGCTCCTGCAGACCAACGGTGCCCTTGACATAGATATCACTCCTGAGCTGGTGAGTATGGCACCCTGCCCCGCTGTGTCCTGGAAATGCTAACGATGACCCAGTCACATAATCACTGATCAGCCTTGACAAGCCCTTTTCTCTACAACTGGACAGAGCTGGACAAGTTTGTAGCATGCACATGCCCACTCTTGTCCTTGTAGCAAACATTGCTAATCGATAATGGCTCTCTAAATTGGCTAAATCTAAATGGGACTTTTGATCCTTCTCAACATGACACTCCAGGAACTTACTTTCACTGAGTCAGAACTGCTATATTAAATATAGCCAGCTTTCCATCCTTGCACCAGATGAGCCCTTCTAGAGTCACGGCCAAATTTTACACTTAACGTGTGAATGGCTAACATTTCTACTGCTCTTTCAAGAGCAGACTTGAGTTGAAGAAAAGAAAACTAGGATTGGACTATACCAAAGGTCACTTAGACATTCATTCCGAAGCCTCTGAGACTTCTCTGCTTCCATTCTAGACACTCTCAAACCTCACAGATGTCTGGAAGGCCCAGCCCCCAGAATTCTCACCCAGAGGCATTTTCTTGGTCTTAGCCCTCTCTAAAGGCAGTGAGCTCTAAGCCACCTGCCCCTGCCCCAATCTGCAGTTCAGACCCAAGGGAACAGGGTTTGATCACTTACTTCCTGCATGTAGGGTCCAGAGAGCCCTGGAACAGACTTCTGAGCTGGGAGACAGGTGTCTTCTAGCTGGAGAGAGGTGGCTATCATAGCTAGGCGGAAGCCGTGTGTGTCTGAGCAACGAGTGTGTGTGCATGCAAGTGCGAGTATGAGGCAAGAGAGGGATCTCAGAGGCCAGGTACTGTTGTCAGGTGCTGTCCACCCCACTGGGTGACAGCCTTATGTTGGGTGAGAGTCTGGGAATCCTCTAAGTAGGAGAGAGTGTGTTTATCCTGTGTGAACAAGTCTGTTCTGAGAAGAGGAGGTTTGTGGTTCAGGAGTCTCAAACAGCAGAGCCCAGGGGGCTGGGCCATTATCCATTAGCAAAATAAGGGAAGCAGGTCTGGTGGACTGTAGCAGACTGGGGAGCCTGTGCCCCGTTTCTTAGGCAGATGCCACTCAGCTTCCCCAAGGGGAGGAAGTATAGGCCCAGCGTGAGCAGATTTTCTAATTTTTCAGCCAAAAAAATGGCAAATTTAAATGAAATTTTCTGATTCGTAAATACTGGACACAATTTCATAGCTTTTGAAAATGTCGTTTGGGTGAAAGGCAAAAGTGCCTGGGGTCAGATCTCTGGCCTTCAGATTGTGAGCTCTGGCAGAGTGGTATAGAAAAGCATAACTAGAATAAGGACAGGACGAGGACATCAGCTGTAGGTTCTGGAATTAGCCTGCCCAGCTCAAATCCTGGTGCCACCACTTACCAGCTTATGAGCCTGGACCGGAGACTCAGCTTCCGTATCTGTAAAATGAGGGTAATCATAGCACTCACCTTTTTGAGCTGTTGTAAATGTGAAATGAGCAAAGATGTGCAAAGCCCTTAGCATGTGCCTGGCATGTAGTAAGTGCTCAGTAATCACCGGCCAATCAAAGGAGCATGAGTGTTTGTAAAGATGTGTATGTAATTGGTGGGAGTGGGGTGAGGTGTGGACAAAACTACTTTGTGTGTGCTGAGGGATCCCTGTCCTGCCTCTGTGTTCACCCCTCTCCTACCATTTGGTTTTGGATGCAGGTTCCCAGCAATGTCCCATTAACAACTAAAGACCTGGCAGCTTTGGTCCCTGAGGTGAGTGACCCTCTCATGAGCTATGATTTCTGTAGTTCTTTCCTCATGACCCTGAATGGACTGCAGTATTGTTCTCAGTATAGTTCTCCAAATAGCTGCAATTGAATGTTGAATCTAATTTCACACTAAAATGTGAATGGCTAACATTATATCCTTTCTTGATAGCAGAGCAGAAAGGACCAGGGTTTAACTGCCCCAGAAGTCAATTGGGCATTTGTCCTATAGCTAGCTGTTCCTTGTCTATCAAAGAGAGGACAGAAAATTTTTCTAAGTTACTGAATCCTCTCTCTCCAGATGCCTTATTTTATCTTGGTCTTGGTCTTCTCTGTCCCCAGAGAGAAGACTCAGGGCATTGGCCTTGGGGAGGAAAAAGAAAGGAGAAGGTTCAGGGAGGTTCGACTAGTAGACATTAGTACACGACGGAAGGGTCTGGCCTCAGCTTTCCTGTCTGTTCAACTGGGCTGGACCAGATACTTTCCAGCTTGAGAATCTGAATTCATATTGAAATTGAAATGACTACTACAAAGTCTTTACATAACAGCAGATTCTGACAGAGGTTGGAAAGAGGCCTGGAAGAGCTGGGTTTCTACCAGAGAGGATGAAGATGGAAGCTGAGTTTGGGGATGCAGAAAAACTGTGAATCTCAAAGGTGGCGATTTAAACCAGCCTTAGTGGGTGTGGTTGAGGCCCCTTCTTCTTGGAGCCCTTGGTTAAAGGGCATAGGAGTCTCAGACAAGGGAGGAGACTGAGGCTAGACATTCAGAAGCACCTCCTGAGGGCAGGAGTTCTAAGATGGTGGAAAGGGACTTGAGGGAGGCAGAGGTGGCAGGAGCAGGGACCCGTGGATGCAGCAAGCCGAGCCTTGTCCTTGCAGCTCAGGGAGCCTGGGCCTGTCTCTGGAGGCTGAAGCCCTTGTTCTTTAATTGCTAGCCTTGCAGTGTCAGAGCCTCATAGCCCCAGTTCTAAGTCTGGTTCTGTGGCTTCAGAATCTGTAGACACAGGAGGGTGGAGTCTGTGTGATCCTGCAACTGTGGGAGTCTGGGCTTGAGGAGCTGGTCCCCAGATTCCAACAATCAAGTGACTCCAAATTTCTGTGACTCTGTTTTCTAGCACTTCTATAATTTCATGATGTCATGATTATGAGACTCAGAATTTTGTGATTGTGCGATTCATTCGTTCATTCAATTAATATTTACTAAGCATCAGCTACGTACCAGGCCCTGTGCCGGGTGCTGAGCATCCAGAAGGGGCAAAAGGTGAAAAGTAGATAAAAGTCTCCATGTTCAAGCTGCTGCCATTCTGGTGGGGGTGACAGACATTGAACAAATAAATAAGTAGAAGATGCACAGTGTCAGAGAATGGAGTGTGAAAGGTGGATTGGGAGCACAAGGGGTAATACTTTAAATTGGATGTTCTGTAAAGCCTCACTGAGGAGGTGGCGTGTGAGCAGAAGGATGAAGGAGGTGAGGGAGGGAACCGTGCAGGTATTTGGGGAAGACATTTCTCGGCAGAGGGAACCACTAGTGCAGAGGCCCTGAGGTGGGAATGTGCTTGGCAGGTTAAAGGGACAACAAAGCAGCTGGTGAGTTTAGAAAGAAGACAATGAGGTGGCCAGAGATAGAGGTGAGATGGAGAGGAGGGCAGAGGAGGGGTCACACAGAGCCTGTGGCCTTTAGGGGGATTTTGACTCCGAGTGAGACAAGAGTCTGATTCCGTTGTTCCGTGGATTGGTGTCTCCCTACCTGACTGTCAGCCTTGTGGGGGCTGAGACCGGGCCTATCTGGTTCAGGCTGTGTTCTCAGTGCTCAGCATGGTGCTTGGTGCCCTGTCGGTGCTCAGTGAGTGTTTGTTGACTCACTTACTGATTCTATTAGCAGGGCATCTAAGTAAGCCCTGCTCTGGCTTACCTCTCTCCAGGCCCTGGGGAAGCTGCCCCCAGACCAGCAGCTCCTGCTCTCCCTGCGGGTGAAGGAAGCACCCACAGTCATGCTCCAGAACAAGAAGGCCATTGTCTCCATCCCAGCTAACATCCACGTGCTGTCCTACCGCCCCGCAGGGACCCCTGAAGCCCTCTTCGAGCTAAATGGGGTGAGTGGCCAAGGGATGGGAGCCCAGCACTGATGGGTTGTGAGTGGGCATGACCCTCCCCAGTCTTCTGGGAGGGAGGTTGTCTTCCCCCTGATTTCAGGGTGGCACAGCACAGGAAGTCCCTCTGCTTCATTGCCATCATCTGAGCTGAGACCCGAGTGCCTGCTTAGATTCCTGCCTCACTGAACGTGTGACCAGGCCCGTCTTATTCACTCAGCTTCCTCAGGATCTCAGGAATGACTTCCCATCTCCCCAGCCTCTCTGTGCTCAGATTGGATGACTCTCCAGCTTTCTCCTGACCCGCCCCCCAACTCCAGTCTGCTCCCCTCCACCTCACCTCTACCAGTTTTCCCAAACATACATCTGAGCAGAGATAGGTCTCTCCCCTGCTAACTCTCTGCCCCAGCTCCCCATTGCCTCGCACCATTCACTATCCCCCCGCCCCATCCTCTGCTTTTCCTGTCTTTGTGCCCTAAGGCTCAGTTTCTCAGGGCTACCAGGTCCCACTTCCCTGCCTTTGTTTGCACAGGTCCACCACCTGCAGTGCCATCTCCCCGCCTTCCCTTGGCTGCCTCATCTTTCAAGATTCAGCTCTGGTGTCGCCTCATTGGGGATACCTTCTCTTGGCCAACTGCAGGCTGGATAGAGGGTCTCTCCAAGCTCTTGCAGTTTCAGAGCTTCCTTTCGTACAAGACTGATTGCCCTCAGTTTTAATACTCTGGTTCTTGAACACCAAAACCTTCAGATTACCTCTTCGTAACCCAGCATGGACCATAACACACAGTAGGGCCTCAGTAAGGGTTAATAGAGAGAATGGATGGTGGAAATTCACCTGTCAGCCAAGGCAGACCTGTCCTCAAGCTCCTTCTGCCGCATTTGAGTCTAACCTCTGCCTGCCTTTTCCCTGCAGGTTATGACTTTAAATGCCCAGCTGGCTCCCTCTGCCACCAAGCTGCACCTGTCTCTGTCCCTGGAACGGTAACATGGGATCCTGGGCCTTGGCTATAGTTCAAACTAGGTGTTTTGAACAAGAATTAGGAAGCAACAGGAACCTCCTCCCATTTATTAAGCAACGACTAATTTGCAGGTGTTTTACGAGCATCTTCCTTGCCTCCAGGAGCTGCCGGGGAGGGACAGTGTTAGCCCATTCTACAGATGAGGCACCTGGAGCTCAGAGGAACGGGATCCAGAGCAGGCTTTTTTCACTCTACCAGCTCAAAACCTAGTCCTGGAGATAAATTTGCTGCCAGGATAGGGAGTCCAAACTCCTGAGTTATCAGCCCCAGAAGCTAGCTGTAGAGATACCTGTCTTTGAATGTTGTAAAATGCTTTATTATTTATGTAGACTGGTTATTTCTCTAATCTCTCTACTCCCATGAGAACTAAGGCTCAGTTACTCAGGGCTACCAGGTCCCACTCCCCTTCCTTTGTTTTGGTGCTCAATATGATTATCAATATGGTAATCCTAATATTGATAATCATATTGATAATCATAATAACCAAGATGATGATGTTGATGACAATCCTTCCTTACATAGGCATGGCACTTTACAGTTTGCAAAGCCTAGGCTGGCACAGTGGGTTGTCCCTGAAAGCAGGTCTGTGGTCTGGGTCTCCATTCTCCAGGCCCAGTGCTGTCACTGTGGTGGGCCACCTGTCTCTCCTCTGGATGCAGGAGTTTCCCAGGGATCTCTAGGATCTGTGCATCCTGATCTGTAGGCACCCAGTACTCACCTGACTCCATTTTAGTTTCCCAGGCAGGCCCCTCAAGCTACTTACTACTGCCCCCCTGCAAGGCTCCGCTGCTGCCTCATGTCTAACCTCACCCACTGCCCAGGTTCATATCCCCTTCCTGGTGTTAGTCCATACCTCAGCCCTTCAGGAGATGGAAATCAGTGTCCAGGCTCTGGCCCTGGACCCGTGTTTGGGCCAGCTGTGATTCACTGGTGGGTTGCTGCCTTTAGTTAGCTTATTGGATGCGGGACACCCTCTGGTCAGTGCTTAGAGGGCCTCTTCTTAGAGAGGTTTGGCTACTTGCTCAGGGTCAAACAACTGTGAGTCAGACCAAGATTCCAGGGCCACTGAGTGGAGGTGGTAGTCATGACATCTCAGATGGAGATCCCTCCAGGTCAGATGGGAAAAACCGAGTCTCCAAGTCAAAGCTGGATAGAGGTAGAGTTGGACCTGTAACCCTGTTTCCTGATCCTGGAGAGCTAGGGGTGGGCAGGCTGGGGTGGGGGTGGGACAGAGCACCACTCAGCAGGTGGTGGGGTGGAGGCTGAGACCCCCAACATCTCTCTTCTCTCCACCAGGCTCAGTGTCAAGCTGGCTTCCTCCTTTGCCCACGCCTTTGATGTAAGTTCCTGAGAGGGTGAGCAGCTTGGTGATGGTGAGGAGGCACGATGAGACATGGGCCATGTGACTGAGCTAGTCTCAGCCTGGACTCTGCCCCAATAAGCCAGAGTGGGCAAATATCAGGACAGGTTGTGTGTGTGTGTGTATGTGTGTGTGTAAAATAGTCATCATCTTGGGACAGTGAATCTCATGATCTTCCAAAGTCTTGGAACCTCACAAAATTGTAAACGTCTAGAAGCTCACAAGGGTTCAATATCCTTGAACTTCACACAAGTTAATAAGGTTCCCTAACTCAGAAAGCTCTAACATTTCAGAGCCTCACAGAGCCCTTAATTTCCTGCTTCTCACAGTTCTGAGGCTCTAGAATCTCATGATGGTCTGAGGTTCTAGGACATTCTAAGGATTCCTAAACTGATAAGAATCTAAGATCAGGCCTCACAGAGTTCTGCTAGAGCGGGGCACATTTTCTTTCCTCTTTCTCAGGCACAGCTTCCCACTCCACCCCACAGACCCTTCCTCTAGGAAGGCAGCTCTTCCAAGTTCATAGCACCCAGGGCGAAGCCGTCCTAAATCATAGCGTTCCCTTTGGGGTCATTGGTGGACAGCCCACCAACAGTCGTGTCCTCAGGCATGGGGGAAGCTGGGGCAGCTGGACCCCTGGATTTTCCTCCCTGAGAAGAGGTGTATTGCTGCCTGTAAAGCCACACCTCCGCCCCCTACCTCCCCCGTGCTCTGTTGCAGGCATCTCGTTTAGAAGAATGGCTCAATGACGTGGTCCGGGTGGCATATGTGCCGAAGCTCAATGGTAGGCATGGCCTTCGCTGTCTTCTTGAACACGTGGAGTGTCTGAATCTGAAATTGTTGAATCCGTTGCCTCTCTCCATTGTTCTGATAGAAACACTGAAGCCGGACAGGACTTGATCCCCATTTCTAAGATGCAGAAACCGAGGCACCAATGTTTCCATTCAAACAACATTGATTAGCACTTACATCACTCTGGATTCTGGGCCCTGAGAGCTATCTGACCTCGGTCCCATCCTCACACTCACAATCCAGAGGGAAATAGTCATATAAAAATGGTTAGAATATCTATGATGCAGTGTGCAGACTGACAGAACCTCGAGGAGGCTTTGCTGAGGGGAGCCGCTGATGACAATACAGAAAAAGTGTGTTTTTGTTTGGGTTTAGTACGATAAGTAGGAGTCTACCAATAAGGGAAACTGAGTCTCCAAGAAGAGAAATGGCTGGTTCAAGGAAAGGGATCGAGTAGGGTCGGCAGGTTCCACCGTGGCCCTCAATATATCTTTGTTGTCGACCATTTCCTTTTCACAGTGGACCTGGATGGTGGAATTCCCCTGCCTAAGGTTCTCAATGTCAATTTTGCCAACGCAGTCCTGGATATCATAGAGGTGAGTTTCCCATGCAGGTGTGGTCTAGATGGGCCTTAAACTTATCTCTGGAGGCTCCTGCTTGAAACTCAGGAGGGGAATGCTCTGCCTCATCATCTAGTTTATCTCTGCACCATTTTCTAAATTGCTCAGGGAATTACAAATTACTTGGAAATGGCAAATAGATGACATATGCTCCTTCCTTACTTGCTCATGGCAGACATTGTGAATCCATCATAGAGTTCTTCCCTGATGAATTCAGAACCATATCTGGCCTATAGAATGGAATCTCAAATTCACTCACAGAATTGCAGTTTCTCTGGTCCAGGGGTAGCAAATACATGCGCTGTTCCTCTTTATCCTGTGCCTGTGGCAGATATGGCTAATAGGTCATGACACTTTTTCCTG